AAGAAGCCTTCCCTGGACCCGGCAATGTTGGTAAATTATCGTCCGGTCTCCAACCTTCGCTTTGTTGCGAAGGTTGTTGAGAGTGTGGTCGCGCAACAGCTCCCCCAGCACCTGGATGAAACGACGTATCTGGATCCGTTCCAGTCGGGCTTCAGGCCTGGGTACAGCACGGAAACAGCATTGGTCGCGTTGGTTGATGATCTCTGGAGGGCTCGGGACAGGGGGTGCTCCTCTGTCCTGGTCCTGTTAGATCTCTCAGCGGCTTTTGATACCATCGACCATGGTATCATGCTGCACCGGTTGGAAGAGTTGGGGGTGGGAGGCACTGTGTTGCGGTGGTTCTCCTCCTTTCTCTCTGACCGGTCGCAGTCTGTGTTGACAGGGGGACAGAGGTCGACCCCGAGGCCCCTTATATGTGGGGTGCCACAAGGATCGGTCCTCTCGCCCCTTCTGTTCAACATTTATGTGAAGCCGCTGGGTGAGATCATCCGTGGTTTCGGGGTGGAGTACCATCAGTACGCTGACGACACCCAGCTGTACATCTCCACCCCGGATCACCCCAACGATGCCCTTGAAGTGATGTCCCGGTGCCTGGAGGCCGTACGGATCTGGATGGGGAGGAACAGGCTCAGGCTCAACCCATCCAAGACTGAGTGGCTGTGGTTTCCGACGTCCCGATATAGTCAGTTGACGCCATCACTGACTATTGGGGGCGAATCATTGGCCCCCACGGAGAGGGCTCGCAACTTGGGCGTCCTCCTGGATTCACGGCTGTCTTTAGAAGAGCACTTGACGGCCGTGACCGGGAGGATTTTTCATCAGGCTCGCCTGATTCGCCAGTTGCGTCCCTTTCTGGATCGGGACTCGTTACGCACGGTCACTCATGCCCTTGTCACCTCCCGCCTGGACTATTGCAACGCTCTCTACATGGGGCTCCCCTTGAGGAGCACCCAGAGGCTCTAACTGGCGCAGAGTGCGGCCGCGCGGGTGGTAATGGGAGCGACATGGCGTTCCCATGTAACACCCCTCCTGCGCGAGCTGCACTGGCTCCCGGTGGTCTTCCGGGTGCGCTTCAAGGTTCTGGTTACCACCTTTAAAGCGCTCCATGGCTTAGGACCCGGGTACTTGCGGGACCGCCTACTACCACCAATAGCCTCCCTCCGGCCGGTACGCTCCCATAGAGAGGGGCTCCTCCGGGTGCCGTCAGCCAAACAATGCCGACTGGCGGCCTACAGGGGGAGAGCCTTCTCTGTCGGGGCACCTACTATCTGGAACGAGCTCCCCCCAGAGATACGGAGGATCCCGGATCTGCGCACCTTCCACCGCGCCTTAAAGACCTTACTATTTCACCAGGCCGGCCTGGCCTAATTTTCCCCCTCTTATATAAAAGATTTTTAAAATTTTAAATATCTTTTAGTATTTTATATATTCAATTTTAAATTGGTTTTAAAAGTTTGGGGTTTTAAATTTGTCGGGGCCAAAATTATTTAATTTGATTTTATTCTATTTTTTAAATTTTGTATTGTATGTGTTTTTATTATTTGGCTGTGCACCGCCCTGAGTCCTTCGGGAGTAGGGCGGTATAGAAATCTAATAAAATGAAATGAAAAAATGAAATTTGTTGAACTAAAGTCACATAATTATTATCCTTTATAGTTCAGCATCTAGCTGTCAAATATATGCCTAAATACTTAACCTTTTTTGCTATTTGTAATCCTAATTCTTTAATTAATTCCTCTGTTTGTTTCTCTGTTACATTTTTCGTTAACATTTTGGTCTTATCTTTATTAATTTTTAAGCCAGCCACTTTCCCAAATTCCTCTATTTCTCTTATCAATATTGGTCCTGTTTTTAATGGTTCTTCTATGAAGAATACAAGGTCATCTGCAAGTGCTTGGGCCTTGTATTCTTCTTGCTTTATATTCAATCCTTTTATCTTTTTGTTTGATCTAATTCTTATCAATAAATTTTCCAATGTCAGAATGAAAAGCAAGGGTGAAAGTGGACATCCCTGCCTTACTCCTTTTTTTATTTCAAAGAAATTTGTAAAGTCTCCATTTACTATTATGCTTGCTTTTTGTTTTGTGTATATGGAGGCTATTATGTTTTCAAATCTCTCCCCAAATTTCATGTTTTTTATTTGCTGAAGCATAAATTGCCAATTGACTTGATTAAAAGCCTTTTGGGCATCCAGAAAGATCAGAGGTACCTGTCTCTCTGGATGCACTTCATAATATTCTAATACATTAATTACAATTTTTATATTGTTTTTTATTTGTCTCGCTGGTAAAAACCCATTTTGGTCCGGGTGTATTCTACAATTTAATATTTTTTTCATCCATTCCATTCCATTCCATTCCATTCTATGTAATTGATCATTAGCTCCAGATCATAACCTCAGTGAAGTTGTTGGGCTTCCAGTGAAGATGGCCAACTGACAACAGGCCAAGGAAGAGATCTCTGGGCTCCCTGGAGGATTCTCTCTGGACTGTCACTTTTTTATCTTACCAACAGAAGGAACCTGCATTCCTTTAGTTTATATGACTAAACTAGGGAGAGTCCTATAATCATCCCACAAGATCCTCCAATGGTCTGCAAGTAACTTCAGGAGCTATGCTTAGGGGCATCTGGTCATCTGGCAGTTGGGGAGCAGGGCTGCAATCACTGCATTGTTGAAAAAGCAGGCATTTTGGATTTTTTTTTTTCCAAATGGAAAATAACTTGTGCCTTTCATTTCTTAATCACTTTTAAGGACTATTAATCTTTATTAAGATAAGAGAGGCTCTCTTTAGCCAGAGCCTGTTATTCCTTTTTGAGGATCTATTCTACGCCATTTTGGGGATTTCTTCCATATTAAACAACAAGGAAGAAAGGTGCTAAAGACAAGCTAAAATAAGGAAGTGTGGGAGTATCTTTTTTAAAAATAACTGATGGAGGTCTCCCACTTAGCGTGGTCAATTGGCTCAAGAATACCCTGCTGGATCAGTTTATCTAGTTCTCTGTCTATCCTGAGTTTTAGGGCAAATGGAACCCTCTGGGGTTTTAACCTAATCGATGCCACCTTGGGGTCCAGACTGAATGATATTGGGGTGCCCACATACTTGCCGAGTTCCAGATTAAACACGCCAGCTGTTGTCTATTTCCATGTCACAGAGCGACCCTTCTATTTGTACAGTGACATGTAATTTCTTCCTGTGGGGGGTGATCGCCTGCCCTATTCTAGTCTGGCAGTTTGTTTCTGGCACTCTTGCATTAGCAGCTTTGCGCCTAGGCTTCCAGGTTTCCCGCCTAAAAGGTCTTGAGGCCTCTGCTTTTGGAACGTCTGTGTTTGCACAATAACTAGCAGGCAGGTTCGCTCAGCAGACTCTTGCCTAATGTCCCTTTTTATTGCATCGACGACATATGGCGCCCCTGTAATGGCAGGATGCCCTAGGGTGCTGCCCCCCACAGCTGGCACATGGTTGCCTTCTACTCTCTTGCTCTGTGTTTTTCTTCCTTTCCGTGCGATAGACCTCGTCCTTGCTGCTTTCAGATTCCTCGTCTTGGTGACGGCTCTTATGTATAGTGGCAGTTCGTTTCGTTGCAGCCGGAGCTGTAGTAAGCTTCTGAAGGGACTTGGCCACCTTGTTTGATGACTCGGTTGCCCTTGCCTCGTCCAACGCTGCCTGCAACGTTAGATTGGTCTTTGCCAAGAGTCGTCTCTGCAGCCGGTGGTCCTTTATGCCCCAAATTATTTAGTCAATTAAAATATCATCCAAGTCCCAGTGGGTAGCAGCTTTTCGTAGTGCAGTGACAAATTGATTGATAGATTCTCCATCCTGCTGCATTCGGTGCCGGAATGTGTAAGGCCTCACCGTCTTTAATGGAGCAGGAGCATAGTGTGTTTTTAGTGCTTTTTATAGCATGTGCCATGGTATGGATTGTACTGGAGTTGTTTCGGACAGGGCTTCAGCGGTGTCGAATACATCGTGTCCGCAGTGGCTCAGGAACAGCACTTTTTTCCGGTTGTCCGACAGTCCGAGGAAGTCTTTTGCTTCCATGAAGCACTCAAACCTCGTCATATAAGTGCCCCATTTCTCCTTCACTGGGTCGAACGGAACCAGCGGGTGGAACATAGACATGCTTGCCACAATTCCGAGCGTTTGAATTTGGTGCACAATATGGCTGCCATTCACGTTTGCCGCCAGGCTGGATTGTTCGTTGTCAGCTCTTTTTGGTCTCAGTGTTTTCTTCAGAATCCCATCCTCGTCGCCAGTGTTAGGATTGAAGAGACTGGAGACAGGCTTCAGACAACAGCTCTTTATTCAGCAACTATTCACAATCCAGCAGCCAGCCCCTCTAACAGCCAGCCCTTTTATAGGGAGCTGTCAGGGAGCCCAGCCAATCATATTCAAGTATTCTTCCTGCCCAAACAGCGGACCAGAGGGAGAACTATCCTGTCAATACTTATGTTAAGCAGAACATGTAAAATAAAAAATGATAAGAATTTTGTTTCTGGAGGATGTACTTTGTTTCCTGGGCTCCCTGTTTCCATTTTATTTTCCTATGATCTTTTGCCTCCTTTTCAGACTTTTGTACTTGACTCCAAAAGTATTGTAACTAATTTCCATTACTTCAGATAACAAATGTGTAGTAATGCTTTGAAAGCTCAGAAGTTAGATATCCAGAACTATTGTATAAAATTTTCTGATTTATAAAATATTTTTGTTCTCTTAAGGCTTTCTATAGTTTCAAACTCGGAGTTAAGATGTATAGAATATAATGTGAGATGGGTATGAAAATACAAAAATTTGATTTACAGAAATTTAACTGGTTTTTCTTTGAGAATGTTTTACTATATAGTATGTCCTCAATGGTGAACAAGGGACTCAAAGCTGTATTGAAAAAGCGAAACAAAGAAAAATCTACACATTACAGGAAATGTAGTGATATTTGTTAAATAAAATACATTATAGTATTTCTTTCGGTATGTAAATCAGTAACCTCTCTTTTTATTCCAGATAGTACAACTGAAGTTTTTACAAATATCTATGTGACCAGTTTTGGACCAGTTTCAGATACTGACATGGTGAGTATAGTAACTGAAATAATCTCTGAGATATATATGATGATATGGCTGAATTGAAGCAGAAAAGATATCCAGCTGCCAGCGCCAGATTTAGGCATAAACTAAACAAGCTACAGTATAGCTTAAGACCTCACATTCTGCAGGATCTCACAAAATTTTGGTTGGGGTGGGGACTTTTAAAATTTTTATGTGACTTCTATGTGTACTTTATTTTTTCAAATATTGTATAGCAAATTTTGTGTAGTTATAAAATGGTCACACACATCCACACACAGAGGTTTTATAAAGTTTTAGGTTTTAAAAAGTTTCAGATGGATCTCAGCATGTGGACTTGAACCATGTATTAAACAAAGAAACCAAGAAACACAACCGGCCAAAAGACAAATGTTTGAAAGAGATATGTACAAGTGTTCTAGAATATATATATGGTTTTACACACACACACACACAAACACAAACACAAACACACACACACACCTTTGAAACTTTCTAAAACCTATTGTCATGGTTCGAAGTAATGCTCCCAACCAATTCAAAGACTCTGAGGCCTTGGCTTCCTCAAAAATCCTGTTTATTGGGTACATCATATTGGCACGGTCAGAGGTGAAACCAACACTGAATAATTCCTGTGTTTTTGATATAATTAAAGAATAGATACTGTCCGCCCTGCCTCCCCTTGTGTCACAGGTCACATTAGCCAACTAAGCAGGTGATGAACTTCTCAGCACTCCCTCCTGCTGTTGCTATGGCGCACTGATTTGGCCTTGGTTCTCAGGAGCCATATCGTTGTTATGTCTGGCACATTGGAAGAAAACTGTGATGACCAGGGCTGGGCATGGAAACAACACAGCTGGAACAAAGGCTTAATGTCCCAACTTATAATAAACTCCAACTTTCCCCCAAAAGTCCCACCGTTCACCATCCAGGAACAAAGCTCTAAACACACACCTCCAATAGTTCCTGGCTGCTGTTAGTCCAGAGGATCAGCACAGTTCTGAGAGCAGTCACATTTCAGGGAATTTGGTTCCAAGGAGTCCTCATCACAGGAAGATTTCACTGCATCTGCAGCACAACCCGGAGCAGAACTGGGTTGCTGTGAACTCGCACCTAGCCAGGCCAGGCAACCAATGCAAGCAGGGCAAGGCAAACAGGGCAAGGCAAGGAAAATATCCAGACATCAGTAACAGCACGTGAGACTGGAAAAAGGGCTTGTTCCCAACAACTGCCCCTCCCAACAGCGTCCCTTTAAATCTCATTCCCCAGGTGAGCCTTGTGAAGAGGAGCGGGGCACACTCCTTCTGAGTGGTCGGGTCACCCTGCGCTGATTCCGCCGCCTCTCCATTCACCATGCTTGGGGGTTGGGGGGGAGATAATTGCTCATTGCCGGAGCTCTGTCACTCCTCTGCTCCGCCCCCTCCTCCCCCTTTGCTTGGTCATCCTGCGCCCTCTCTCCTTTGCTGGTGACCCTTTCCAGGCCCGAGGGACCTAGGACTGCTTCCTCCTGCTCCTCCAGTCATTCCTCCATTGGCCCTAGCTCCGTCTCATCCTCCTCCTCAGACCCAAACTCCCATGGGGCCATGACACTAACATTCTACAGTCCCATAAGTCCCCCTCCCCCCCATAACTATGGCAACTAAGAAAAAGCAAGAAAAATATGGCTTCAGCTAGAGTTGTTTTGAGAGTTGACAGTTGGCTCCCGTACGTGGAAAAGAGCATCTGTAAGGTATGAATCACAAATAGCCCTTTTCAGTCATCCCCCCCTCCATCTATTGTTGATTTCCCAATTTTGAACCAATCAGAGGTTCTGTGTCCAGTTCTCACTGTTGCTTCTTGACCCACATATAGGTTTCTCAAGAGACAAATAAGATGGTCTGGTACTCCCATCTCTTTAAGAAGTTGCCACAATGTGTTGTGATCCACACAATCAAAGGCTTTAGCATAGTCAATGAAGCAGAAGTAGATGTTTTTCTGGAACTCCCTAGCTTTCTCCATCATCCTGAGTATGTTGGCAATTTGATCTCTAGTTCCTCTGCCTCTTCGAAATCCTGCCTGTATTGCTGGTAGTTCTAGGTCCAACATACTGCTGGAGCCTAGCTTGTAGAATTTTGAGCATAACTTTCCTAGCATGTGAAATGAGTGCAATGGTGCGGTAGTTTGAACATTCTTTGGCATTGCCCTTCTTTGGAATTGGAATGTAAACTGACCTTTTCCAATCCTGTGGCTACTGTTGAGTTTTCTAAATTTGCTGGCAAATTGAGTGTAGCACTTTTACTGTATTGTCTTTTAAGATTTTGAATAGCTCAGTTGGAATACTCTTATCTCCACTAGCTCTATTGTTGCTCAGATTTCCTAAGGCCCTTCACATTCCAGGATGTCTGGCTCGAGATCAGTGACCACCCCATCATAGTTATCGGGGACATTAAGCTCATTCTTGTATAGTTGTTCTGTGTAATTTGGCCACCACTTTTTTTTTTTAATTGAAAAAGTTTTACAAATACAAATTTTCCCATTTCCCCCCCGCTTTCCCTCCCTAACCCTCCCTAGCCCTCCCCTCCTCCCATGACTTCCCCAAGGTGAAATCCAAATCCAAATCATATTATATCATACTTTACCGCCCATCTATTCTGCCCCCTGTGTACTATACATTTCTACATGACATTGAACTATTCTACCCAACTAAAAGCTATCTGGTACTTCCTAGTTTGATATTTATTCTGCACATAATCTATCCATTTCTTCCATTCCCATGCATAAGTCTCTTGAGTCCGATCTTTTAAGTATGCTGATATCTTCGCCATTTCTGCAAAACTGGCCACCTTCAAAGTCCATTCTTCAATAGTAAGCATAACATCCCTTTTCCAATATTGACCAATCAGTAACCTAGCTGCTGTCACCATATACAATATCAATTTTGTTTCACCCATTGAAAAGTCCTTAACTATGCCCAATAAAAACAATTGAGGAGAAAATTGGAGTTTTTTCTTCAAAACATTTTGCATAACCCACCAAATTTTTATCCAGAAAGCCTTCACTTTCTTGCAAGTCCACCATATATGATAATATGTAGCATCTAAACAATCACATCTCCAACATTTTGGTTGAACATTAGGATACATGCATGACAATTTCTTAGGATCTAGATGCCATCTATAAAACATTTTATAAAAATTTTCCCTCAAATTCTGTGACAGGGTAAATTTAACATTCTGAACCCATATTTTTTCCCACGTTTCCATCATAACTGGTTCTGCAAAGTTTTGCGCCCATTTTATCATACAATCTTTAACCAATTCATTTTCTGAGTCTCTTTCTAACAAAACGTTATAAACCCTCTTGATATGCATTGGGCCTTTCTCTTTTATCTGTCTTACCAATTCTTCTTCATGCAACATTAAACCAGTTTTTTGATCTTCTCTCCATCTTGAAGTTGATTATACTGTAACCAAGTTATATTAATCCCTTCTTCCAACAGTGTATTTAATGTCTTTAGTTGCCATCTGCCCCCATCATTAAAAAGTACTTCTTTGTATAAACCCCCCCCCCCGAGTGACTTTATGTTTGTATTCCGTATAATATGACCAAGATCCAACCACAACGGTATTTTATAATCCCATTTGAACCAGTGCTTCTTCCATACTCTCATCAAGGAGTTTCTAAGTATATGGCTATTGAATACTTTATCCACTTTATTTTCATAGAATAAATATGCATGCCAACCATGTTCAAGATCATAACTCTCTATATTCAATATTCCAGTCTTTGTCCTTCCAAACCAATCACTTGCTTGTGTCAATGCTGCTGCTTCATAGTACAGTCGTAGGTTTGGAAGTTTAAGGCCACCGCTTTCACGAACATCTTGCATAATTTTCAATTTAACTCTTGGTTTTTTCTCATTCCAAACAAACTTATTCACTCCTTTTTGCCATTCCGTCAGCTGTTTATCACTTTTAAGCACCGGAATAATTTGAAACAAAAATAAAAATCTAGGTAGAACATTCATTTTAACTGCTGCTATTCTTCCAAGTAAGGACAGCTGCAGTTTTTTCCAGGTTTCCATATCCTTTTGTACCTTTCGCCACAACACCTCATAGTTATTTTGGAACAGTTTTATATTTGAATCTGCAACTTGGACTCCTAGATATCTCACCTTTGGTACTATTTCAAAGCCTGCCTTCCTTTCAAGTTCCTTCTTTTGATCTTCTGTCATATTTTTAACTATCATCTTGGTTTTTTTCTGATTCAGTCTAAATCCTGATACCATACCATATTGTTCTATAATGCCTTTCATCTGGATTATTGACTCCATCAGCCGTGTTAGGGTAACAACCAGATCGTCTGCAAATGCCCTTGTTCTGTAATCCTCTTGCCTTATAACTATTCCATTCAAAGTACTCGAGTCCTGTATTGTGTTCAACAAGACTTCTAGAGTTAAGATAAACAACAACAGGGATAATGGACAACCTTGTCTTGTGCCTTTTTCTATACTGAAGTTTGTAGTTAAGCTTCCATTAATAATAATTTGTGCTGTTTGCTCTTGATAAATTGCTGAAACCGCCTGCACAAACTGATCCCCAAAGTCCATCTTTCTTAAAGTCTTTAATAGAAAGTTCCAGTTCACTCGATCAAAGGCCTTCTCCGCATCCAAAAACACCAGCACTGCAGAGATCTGTTTATTCTTCTCAAGATATTCCAATAAGTCTATAATTTGCCTCACATTATCCTTCATGTATCTGCCTTCTATAAATCCTGCTTGATCATGATGAATCACCTCTTGAATAACTGGCATTAATCTGTTGGCTAATACTTTTGCAAAAATTTTGTAATCCGTATTCAGGAGAGATATTGGTCTAAAATTTTCCGGTTTTGTAGAACCTGCTTCCTCTTTTGGTATCAATGAAACAAAAGCTGCTTTCCATGAAGGGGGTATTTTACCCCCTTGTTGTATGCTACAAAATAAGTCTTTAAGATGTTCAATCATTTCTACTTGTAAAGTTTTATAA